TTTTTAATTGATCAGCTGGTCAATTAAAAAACCGGGAGGACGGTTTTCCAAATGGGGTTCACTTGATATCCTCTGTCCCTGTTGAGGTTGTTAGGGTTTTTATGGATCTCCAAACCCTCTCGGTATTTCCTTTCAAAATACCCTTGAGATTTGGCCAACATTCTGGCTTGGTCGTACTGGATGGATGGATGGTCGTACTGGTCAGGCGCAACGCTGAATCCAAACGCAGCATCTATCCGGAAGCCAAAGATTTCAAAAATATAAATGTTACAGACATATAAGTTAACGTATACAAACTTATGACAAATAATAAAGATAATGATTTTTTTCCCAGGGGTAGTTTTGAGGGTGGGGAGTTCAATACGTTGAATATTTTTCTGGGGAATTGCCGTGGTGATTAACAGAAAATTAATTAATTGGATATTTCACGTGTTTTCCGGAAACGACGGGGATTCAGGGTCAGTGGGGCGTGACGGGGGGTGAGGGGGTGAGTTCCGACGAGGGGTGAGGGTGGACAGACTAAACTAATCCATTTTTTCCTGGGGAATGAGCGCGGTAATTAACAATGGATTAATTACCGCGCTCATTCCCCAGGAAAAAATGGATTAATTTCGACTCTCCACCCTCAAAACTACCCCTAGAAAAAAATCCACCTCCAAAAGTACTTGCACTTGACCCTTAACCCTTGTCGTTTCCGGAAAAAACGTAAAATATGGAATTAATTAATTAATTAATTGTTAATTACCGCGCTCATTCCCCAGGAAACTATTTAATAATTTCGACTCTCCACCCTTAAGACTACCCCTAGGGAAAAATCCACCCCCAGAAGTACTTGCACCTGACCCTTAACCTCCGTCATTTCTGGAAAAAGCGTGAAATATGAGATTTATTAATTAATTGTCAATTACCGCACTCATTCCCCAGGAAAATATTTAATAATTTCGATTCTCCACCCTCAAAACTACCCCTAGGAAAAAATCCAACCCCAAAAGTACTTACGCATCATCCCCAATCCCCGTCCTTTCCGGGAAAAAAAAGAAATATGAGT